ATAAAGCAATTGATCAGCAATATCAATAATTAGCATCTCGTAAGTAGGTGACTAAACGATATATCTAAACAGATTCGTGCGTGTCAACCTTTCCAAACCCTAAGCAAGCATTCGCTTGCATGGACAAAAATCACCTAATTAGAAACAAACAAAACAGGATATTGGAAAAAGATAGCACTTACAGCATTAACCAGAAACTACACCTTTCCACAACCTCTTCGTAGAAGCATAATGCACGGCGCACACTGGAATCAAAATGATCGATGATATCGAATTATGCTTCGACTCTATTCGACGGGCATCTTGAAGTTTGCCAATAAGTATCCTCGCAATGACAACGGATCGAGCTTTCGAGTGGCTCAGAGGTCGCCCAAAGGTAACCCATCTGAAATATCATCTGAACTAGCGGGTCTTCAGAAAAACTGTAGAGCTTGGGGCGCTCTGATGGCGTTTTTGTATGGAAACGATTACTCGAGAGAAGATTCTCATCTTAAGCATAAAAAACCCGCTTACCACTACTACCCGAAATCCACCCGAAATATTTCACGAACGGAGAACGTTCAGTTTGCGAGTAGGTAGTAAGCGAACAGTAGCGATGTTGCTTCGATATGCCGGCTTCCACTTCTCGAAAACCCCAAACCTGGAAAAGCTATCACCATCAGAAGTAGCCCTGCGATTTCCACCCGGCCAACAGATCTGCTCCACCGCTAATTTGCCATGGAGTAATAACGCGGCTCCAGCGCTTGCGAGTCATTACCTATCTAAGGAATTGTTCACACTCGCGGTCCCGCCCTTCTTTCTGAAACGCGGCGGTTCGGCGAAAAGCTTTCGATACATATGGCGGTTGGGCGAAGAGCCTGGCGGTTGGACGAAAGGGTTTTGGTATGTATCGACGGGCGTTTCGCCAAACCGCGACGTTTTTCGCCTTCGACAAAACGCTAGCTCCACTGCGGTGGCGTTTTTCGCCAGCCAAATCGATACACATCTACTGCTTTTCGCCCAACCGCCCAACCGCGGCGGTTGGGCGGTTGGACGCTTGGGCGATTCTCCGATCGATGACTATTCTTTGCTTTTCTCCCAACCGCCGTTCCGTCAGGGCCTGGCGACTGTGAACAATGCCTAATCCTTCTCGTCAGAGTAAACAAATGGAGCGGGAAAAGGGGGATCGTATTGACACCACCGTTTCACCCATCACGATGATGTACCCTGTATCCAACCATCGCTACCCCAAACGCTCAAAAACACTTTTGGTGGAATATTGTCCATAGAGGTAATTCGATGTCCTGATCACAATGAAATTCTTTCAACTCTGGCGTCATTTAGCGCCACTAGCTCCTCAAGTTTTGGCGGCGACTATCCTCAGCGAATCCGCTGTGAATTTGCATAATAGAGCTGAATGGTGCCCCCGATCATGACTATTGGCATTCATTTCGACAACAGCATAATCTGCTCAGCTCAGGCTGAGCTTGGGAGTAGTGCGTTGCCGTCAGGGCATGCTCAAGCTTAGTAGAGCGCTGATGATCGTATTGTCCTCCATTAGCGCCGTTGCCAAGAATGGATGTCATATTCGTAATTTGAAATAACCCTTGGTGGCAAGTTTCCAGCCGGGTTCGGTGATGTAGAGTACAATGGTCGCGGCGCCTGTGGCGGTGGTGCCAGACAGTTTTCACGTCGAGCGGGCGTGATATTCCAGTGCAGGATGAAATTATATCCGCGGACAGACAGGTTTGTAGCGAATTTGGTGGTTTACATTTTCGCGCTAGCCCCCCTGAGCGGTGGACGTCGGCAGGCTCTTCCAGGCCAAGCGGATGTTACATTTGTGCTCAGGAGGTCGAGTATAGTATAGTATTCCTATGGTAAACTTTTCAGCCAAATCTACCCCGGAAGAAAAAGTACGGTAGAAAATTGGCCCCATATCGGAAAATTGGAGTGGTAATAGCTGAATAACGCCAAAATTTGCCGCGCTGCTGAAGGATTTTTCTTGTTTCTGACTTTCCGCGGGTTTTCCCGTTTCACTGGTGCTGTACATTCCCCCCCCCCTCCCACCACCGCTACGGCAAAGTTTGGAGAGAAATGAAAAAAAAATTCCGGAAATTGCTGTATTAGGTTGTTCGAAAAGTCCTGCGACACTTCGACCAAATTTTCCGAACTAAATTTCTGGTCAGTAAAGGACATCTCCAGTCTACGAGGTAACCGCAGTTGATGACTAGGACTAGTGTCTTCCTTTTGCACAGCTTCTCATTTTCATTCTCATAGAACTACGGCAACTATGATAAAAAGAAGATGTGGACCTCACTCTCGAGTTGAGGTCGACTTTTGGAATTTTTGCTTTCTAAAGGATGCGATAGGGAAGAAAGGAGGTGATAATTAGAGGCTGCTAACTTTGTTAAATAACCTGGGTACGGTAGCATCCTCTGATCGAAATCCATGATCTTTTGTCATAACCTGATCCCTACATACGGTCCTCGTATTACCGAGTAGTAGAGAAAAATTGAGTATTTCTGAATGAATTCAAGCATGACGTCATCCATATTTCGAAGTCGATTAAGGTGGACTGCGGTCCTTACAACGGTGCTGGTATCCAATGATACCGCTCTAAAGTTCCACCAATAACACACTGAAATCTTTATCCCATGCACATCTGATTTTGGCTGAGCAATCTACTTTACTGTTTGCGAGATCCTGAGAGAGACATGTACATGATGTAAGCAAGGACTCCAGCACTCGCTACCAACCACAAGATCTCCCAAAAGTTCTTTAGCTGTGCACAAGGAAAAGAAAACTCAGACACGGTCATCCGGCATGACTTGTCAGACGGGTCCAACTCTTGAGGCATCCTTCACAAAAAAATTTTCCGATAACTGAGATTGCGGAGAAGCATAGCCCTCTCCATAGCCTAGAGAGGTTTCCAACTTACCGGTGGTTACGTTCGGCTGCGCCTCAAGAAGCTTGAGTAAAGGGCCGTCATTCTGTGCTGGTGGGCGACCTATACATTGCCTAAGTACGACTTAAATACCTCCAGCCTGGAAGAATGCAAAAGCTACCCTCTGCCATGGCAAGCAATATCCTTCCTCAAGACAACGTAGGTGCCAGATTCCTCGACTACGGCGAAGGGGCCCTAGAGGAACTCATAATATGGGACAGGTCGAGAAGTACCTCGATCTCTGGGGGACTTTTACGCTTCGAAAACTTCCTCAAAGTCATGATATACCCATGTGCAGAAACCCCAGAGGACAGTCTCCACTAATCAGGGATAAAAGCATCCAAAATGATCTCTGGTCTTTTTCTAGAACAATTTAATCAGAATGTCGCAGGACTTTTCAAACCACCTAATAGAAAGTTGGGAAAGCCAGGGAAACCGGAATAGGGGAAGAGTGTAGCGAGGATGAGGAAAGGATCGCATTAGAGGGCGAAAATAGGGAGGGGTCATACCACAAGGGAGATTTGGGAGTGCGTGTCCGTGTGAATGAGTGTTACCGTAATCCCGATTCTGGCCGAAGCGCGCTGATGGATTGGGGCACGGTTCGCACCAGCCTCCAAGCTTGTAGACCAGGGCACATCGTTGCTGAGGATTCCCAAACAGGGGCCCAATCATCCGCAACGGACAAGACTCTAAACAAGTGCGTAGGCTGGCCATGGACCTCTCTGAATCTTATAAACACATCTGCTCCCGTAGACAAGCATTACGTACAACGCGCACCATCCCACTCCCTCTGCGAGGGATTCTAAGCATGGCGCATCCAGAAATGAAGCTAATGGGCGCTAAACCAACTACTGCTTGTTCCTATTCCATGAACGCGTGCATTGTACACGCACGCCTAGATATCCGAATATGCCCACTTGAGAAGGTACACAGGAAAAGCGTATTCCGAGCAGCTCGGAGTGTTCTTCAGAAAATCCCAACGCGGTTACCTCATAAATCCCGAAAATTTTAGAATCAATCTAAGTGGTTTTTGGGAAGGAAATCTCCCAAAATATATTCGACAATGGTTTTGATTTTGCAAACAGCCATGTTTTGAATTATCGAACGATAAAGGTGTCGACAGTAAGAAGGGACGGAATCACGAGCCTCGTGACTACGCCGGATGAGACTTCGTCATCCAGGTTTTTCGGCGTCTTCGAAGCGGTTGGCCCGCCCACGCGCAGGGCACTCCATTTGTGATCATCACAACAAGGGGGGGGGATCGTATTTGACCTCGAGGGAGGGGGGGGGGGTAGAAGCGCGGTACCTTTCTGAAGTGAGGGCGCAGCCATACTCAGATGTCGTTCAGCTTCAGTGATGAAAGACCTATCCTTGTGAAGAACCCCTGAAGAGACCCACACAAGACAGAAACACCTGCCAGCGCAGAAGTGGGGAACGGGGGATGACAAAAATACGATGGCCGCCCACAACGACGTCAAAAAAAGGATAAAGGATAAAGTCTCCGCCATTGATCAACCACTTTGCGGGATGCGGCACGCATTCCACTTTCATTCAGAATCGCAGTGGCTGATTAAATGCGGTGTGGCCTATACAATGACATGTGCAGGCCAGCCGATGTACAACTCAGTGTTTTACCCTCCTAGACGAACCTGGCACCAATATACCGTCCCCGGAGGGTAGAGGGTTTGGTTGGCCTGGGTGGGATTCGACCCGGGATTTGAACCCGGCATCGCGCGAGTGGTAAGCGTAGCGGTGATGTCCGTTCCTTCTCGAGGTGCCGTTGGAGACTGCCCACTTGTAAAAGTGGTGCTGAGGAAGACATGTACAGCAGTGTCAGACCCGAGCGACACGTCGGCTGTAACTTCAAAGTCGCAACTATGGACTGAGATGCCATTCAATGAATAATGCTAGGGCGTACCCCAGAGGGACGCGCGGTGGGTTCGCCCTATAACCGTGTTAAAAGAACGAGGGCTGCCGGTTCAAGGGCAGTATCGGCTAAAGAAGAGAGCCCGGATGAAAGTCCAACCGCGAGTGGAACAGTTGCACATTGCACGTTAAACATAGGCACTCTAACAGGATGCAGCACCGAACTCGCAGAAATGCTGAAATGACGGAAAGTGGACATTGCATGCGTACAAAAGGAAAGAACAGTAATCGCTAGATATTGGAGAATACAAACTAAGCTACTGGTGAAACCAACAGCAAAGGTGTGGCTATTGCTGTCAGCGATGAAATGCGCATCAGAATCTCAGAAATACGGCGCAAGTCAGATAGACTGATCTCTGCTATAGATGACGTCGCGGCATGTCGTCTGCATGTGCTTTCGGTATACGCCCCACAAAGTGGTTGCAGCGATGTGGAAAAAGAGCAGTTCTGGACATAATCACAAGAGTGCGTTGCGGAAGTTCCTGAAAATGAGTTGCTCTCCCTCTGTGGAGACCTGAACGGCCGCGTTGGCAGTACCCAGGGCGGATACAACTGTCATGGAAACAATGAATATGGTGTACGGAATGATGGCTGAGGCATTCTGGATTTTGCTGAGACAAATGATCTTGCTATCTGCAACACCTTCTTCAAGAAGCGTCATAGCCACCTAGTCGCACACGCCAGCTGTACACAGGAGAGTCAAATTGACTTCATTCTAGTACGCAGAAGGGATCTTCCTCGCATAAGCAATAAAAAAGTCATCCCGTCTGAGGCAATAAGGAAATCGGCAGGTCTAGAGGACCGGATCAAATTAAATGGTGGAGACTATGGCAAGCTGATCAGGCGGCTGCGATTGCCGGTAGCTGTTACCTTCCTTCTATTGTTACGAGATCTGTCGAAGAAGCATGGCCAACTTTCCGCGACTCAGTCACAACGGCAGCCAAAACCACGTTAAGAAATCCGAAACCAAACCGACATCGTATCGATAAACAAACGTGGTTATGGACCGAAGATATCAAGCAGAAAGTGAAGGAGAAAAAAGTGGCGTACAAGAACTGGCTCGCCGAGATAACTACCAAAAAGTGGAGAGCTTATGCCAGAGCTTGAAAGGAAGCTAAGACAGCTGTAGCTGCAGTCAAACCAGAACATTACCGAACTTGTATGAACAGCCGGACACAGAATCAGAGAAAAACGTGTACCGATTGGCAAAAGGACGGGCACAACTAGCGAGAGACGTTGAACATTATATGTGAGTCAAGAATTCAAATGGACAACGAATGCACAGCAGACGAGAGATACTGAACCGTTAGCAGCAACACTTCAGCGAGGTTTCCAACGTCGAATTCGCCCACCCGTCAATCCCAGAAGGCACAAGGCATGCTGGTCCAGTACCTCGGATCACAACCGAAGAGGTTGCCAAGGCTATAAGCAGCTTGAAGAATCGTAAAGCGCCAGGACCAGACGGCATACCTGCAGATTTTTGGAAAATGAAGGAAATGCGTCAGAACAGAATTCCATGGCTTACACAATTCCTCAACGCCGTTGTTGCTTCAGGCAGGGCACCAAGCGATTGGGCTACGAACATAACAGTACCAATATTCAAGAATAAAGGAGATCCTGCTGAACGCTCCAACTATCGCCCTATCCGACTGTTATCGCATACAAAGAAAATCTTCGAGCGAATCCTCGACCGACGACTACGCGATATGGTGAAATTGACCAGTAACTATTATGGCTTTGTGAAAGGCTCTGGAACAACCGACGCAATCTTTGCTGCTTGTCTGCTTGTGGAAAAACATAGAGAAAGACAAACACCGTGAAGAGACTAGCCACTTTAGCAATATACAGGGGCCAAAAAAAAGACGTTTTTCTTTCTTGACTTTGGAGGCGTTGTAAGTTACACATTATTAGATTTGTATCGGATATTTTCACCACCATATTAAAGTGCATATCATATACTATTATGATACTCCGCCACAGCCTTCTGGAGGAGCGCCATCGAGAGATTCTGCCCCGCGACCGTGAGTGGGTGCCTGAGATCAGCGAGATAGTCGATTTCTCCGCCACCGTAGACCACCCTATTGAACTCCACCCGAGCCAGGTAATTGAGGGGGTTTGGGTCAGATGACCTGCTTAAATATTCCACCTTCCTCAGGTACGCAACGCCCCTCCATTACAAGTAGGCAAGAGTTTTCCCAACGCCCTTTGATTCCATGTGGTGTCACCTAATCCTGTAGCAGTACAAAGTTTCCAAGAAGGTACGGGCGACGACATGTAGGGAGGATATTCTTCTCGTTGCTCGATGTAACCACCAGTGCTCACCTTCAGTCCTTTGCCCGCGAAGAAAATATTGGTCTCTCCATTCCAGGTACGTCCGATCCCTACCATCAACTGGCGCCTTGGCGACTGGGGTGAAGATGATGTCCTGGACCGTAGCGACGTTGACGGAGCTGCTCGATGATGGAGGTCTTCCAGATTGAGAGTACTGGCCTCCAGGTAGCTATCCATGGGTGACTCCATAATAGAAGTTTCGCAGCTGTTTGGAGGTGACATGAGTTCCGAAGGTCTTCTCCAGTCAAGTTGCGGCTGGAGATGACTTCATATTTCGGTGTACATGAAGGTGGTAGGCGAGCGCCAGCTCCCGCTTATAGAGGAACATCTTGGGTATCCTCCGCCCTGGTACTCGTATCCACGTTCTCTTTCTGGGCTGCGAAAACTTTGCTCATATGTGACTCGGTCGAAATGTCTTTTTTTTGCCCCCCTACCCCGTATGCGTATAGTATAGTCGTGCCACGCGGTATAATTGTGTGTCGCTTTCCTATAGACGCAACCGAGCAACGATTTATGTAAGGGAAATAGAACAGCGTTATTTACTGCAACAGGAAAAAATATAACAGTAGGTTATCGGAACCGAACTTATGCGTGAGTGCTTATTGCGTATTAGAAAACCCGAATGTGTTGTACAGGCCGGGGCGAGAGAGAGAGAAAAATGTGAAGACGAAAAACTAAAGACTGAATACTGAAGACTGCACAGTGAAGACTGCCGACTGAAGGCTGCACACTGGATACTGCACCCTGGAGACTGGCGACCCCCTTTTGAGAGCCCTTATATACCCCCAGTGGGATCAAAGTTCAAAGGCTAAGTCCAAAGTCCAAGGAGACCACCCACAGGTCAATCAATTCCATGGGCTCGCTTGGAGTCTGGCATTCTTCGGTAGATCGACCCCGCATGACTTACGAATTGCAACTTGGAGTTGCAATACTCCCGGCCCGGCCTGTAAAGTACTCGTGATGCGTAAAGACTCGTAACGACATCTTGTATCAACAGCAACAGCAACAAAACAGATCAAACCAACAAGAAGTAAAACCATTTATCACCATTTCTTCAGTTCCTGTAGTTGACGCTTCAGGCCTTCCAGCTTCTTCTTTGCCTCCCTCCTCTTTCTCGTGGCTTCCTCGTACCGACGTCGTATTTCTTTGCTCCTCTCGCATAATGCGGAATGATCCATGTTTCTTGCAATGGGAGCATGCTGTTATCTTCTTGCAAATATGCCCATCAAAGTTAATTCTGAGGCAGATTCTGCAACGAATATCGGCGTTGACAATATGTACTCTCTTCCAGTAGTCCGAATATATGGCACATGAGTCGGAGTAGTGGTCTCCCACTCTCCCACAGAAAGCACAAGGAACCGACAGGTCTTCTTTCCTGCGTATAACTCCCTTCTTGAGATCACGAGGATCGCATGTCATCTCCACGTCCAAGTTGTACAGCGTTGTCTCCAAATCTTCGATGTCATCCTCGACTTCCTTGATCCTTCTAAATCCTTTCTCTCTCTGCTCGTTGCGCTCTCTCATCAGCCTCGAAGGAGTTATGGTCTTCTTCTTCCATTTCTTGTACTCCCTCCATGTAATCGACGTTCTCTTGAATCTTTCTGGTCTCGTCGTTCTCATGTGTGTCCAGTTCGTTTTCGGAGAAAGGGCTTCCTTGAATGTCTGGTGCAAGCTGTGGTAGCTTGTACGCCTCCCCTCGCCGCTGTCACTCGGTCTCTGGGTTTCGTAGTCAGAGTGTGTACAACTGTTTGGTGCGTGTGTCGATTTCGCCATGTCCATCATTGTGTTTGCCGTTTCCTGGAGTGCGTGCTTTACTGCTTCCATGGATTCTCTCGCAGCCTTTTCCAATCCATCTTCCATAGTCTTTTGGATCTGATCCAGAAGCGTGAAAATTGTGGGTTGGAACTGTTGTGACTCTTTGAACTCTTCCGCTTGCAACGAACTTCGGTACTTGTTCAGACATGATTGTCCCTCGTCCAGAATCCTTAGCTGGTCTTCAATCATCGCACTGCGGTTGTGACATCATTGCGTTCCAACTGTTCTTTGAAATCGCCTCCAGCTCGGCTATCAGCAGAGGAGGTACGCTGAACAAAAGTCCTCAACTCGGTGCGGATAAGCATAAACTCAATCACTGTTTTCTCTCTCAGAGTTTCTACGATCTGCAGTTCCACTAATCGTTCCTTCCAGCCCTCTTGGGAATTGCGTAAATCGTGGATCAGTAGTGCTGTCGTGTATGTCGCTGTAACGTGTAGATGTCTGCAGCTGTGGACAGTTTTCTTGTATAGATGGTTGGCTTCGGTAGTCGTGGGATCGCATGGAGGAGGCGTCGGTACTTGCGTCGAATATCGGCCTCGGGTATGGCCATTGTCTGAAATCAGTTAAAATAGTGGTCAGTTGCGTTATGTGTCCTTTTTTGTTGATGTTAGAGATTCTCTAGTTTCCTAATTGTTTAGCGTTTTTTTGGGGGGAGGGGCTTACGCCGTTTTCTTGCGCTGCAGCCGCGCATGGCATTCTAATTGCAGCAATGTGTTCCCATGTGCGATGAGAGTAGTGCGTACAGGTGAAACTAGTAATCTCCAGCCTGGTGCTTGGATTGCCGAACCCGAAAACTTTACTAGAGTGCTACATCTTCCTGCTCCTTCCGTTCGAATGGATGCTCTTAGTACTTGTTGGGTGTACTCGAATAGACTTGAAGCTCGGAAGTGCTTGGATAGTGGGTAAGTGTAAGAGCAAGTTGTTCGCAGAACCATTGCGTAGTTTCTTTGCGTGGTTTACAGAAAATAGTTGTTGGTTCCTTTTCTATGCAGTGATAGTGGACCTTTGAGGCTTTCTTTTGTTTGGAACTTTCCCCATCCCCGAGTGGTGATGCGTTTGTGTTCGTCCCCTTGGTTTAGTGGAATTTTAGCGTGCGGGCTATTCTTCTTCCACTGTTGAAACGCTTTGAATTCTGTATAGTGTTTTTGTCATTGTGCTTGACAGCGTGGTTGTTGTGATCCCATGGGACACCCGAGAAGCTTGTACCACTAAGTGTTGTGTTGCTATTGTCCTTGAGATCTCGACGGTAGCAAATGCAAATTGCCTGGTGTCGGCGAATCTATTGGCTTTCCAGAGAGGAGATAGTACTTGTATGACGCCATTGGAAGCGTAAGTTATTTTGTCTTTTCGGTTCCTCTTTAAAAAAATGGCGAAGCCATGTTGAGATCTGTTCAGTAGAAATATCGTCAAGTTAATATTTTTGGCGGTTCTAAGAATTTCCCACTGACCCTTAGTGCTAGTTTTGAATGTTGTACTTGCTGATGCGTTATATATGGTTCCCTTTTCTGATAGTGTTATTTTGTTTCCTCGTACGCCTGTTAAAAACACTGTTGCTACTAACGAGAACATCATAATGTGAAAAAGAAACCATTGTCGGGGGGGGGGGTAGTTCTCCCTATGTGAAGTTAGTGGTGATCGGCTCTGCGTAACTTACTAGTTTGCATGGCCGAAGGTTATAGGGGTGTTGCGGATTCTTCTTGCGCAGCCGCTTTT